TGACGGACTGGCATATAATCCCATACCTTGCCTTTCAGATCATCCACAAGGATGTTGGTTGTAGCTGATTCGTTGAATACCTTGAGCTCTAGCGTTAAAGAGTCTATGCACACAGGGCAAGCTCTCGCTCCTGCCGAACCCATTTGATCAGCTTTCTCTGTAAGCTGGAGCGGTGGCAGGTTCATCTCGGGTAAATCAGATGTGCCTGGAAAATACTGCTGCTGGCGCTCGGAAAAAATTCGCTCGCCACAAAATATCATTTTGAATTGTGAGATTTTCGGGAGGGCAGACAGAAAATATATCCAACACCACCTGGTATTGATGGGGCAACCTGTGTCATACTCCAACAACACATGTTGAAAGATAAGATGATACGATTGTTGAGTAAATGGTACAAATGAGCATTGCTGACTAGTCAGCATTATCACCATCATTCAGTGGTATTATTATCATCAAGGACCACCAGACGACGGCAATGGTTCTCTTATCATTTTATTGAATACTTCATCCTTAAGGAAGACCAGATCCGTAGCAACCCTCGAGCCAACTTCTTCAAGCCAGTCATAACTAGTACACGGTAATGTATTGGCGTGACCTCTCCTACTCCTGCTACTTACTCCCTCTCATCTCGTCCAACTACAGCCAGAAGGACTAGCATCCCATCATCCTCACACTCGGACTGGGCAAAAGGTGTCACTCTAACAGCTGTCTTCTGGCCAGGACTGTATTCGCATTGCATTAGCAACGACGTCAGAGCAGATCCAAAGGCATTCTCCGTACACTGAGAGAAGCGTCAGTTTTTGCTGTTGAGTTGAACGCGGAATAAATCGGCATCGGATATTATTACTTTGTATTCCATGTATATGTTAGCAGCAACAGCCCCAATAGTCTTGGATGACTCATCTGAAGAGGCCCTAGCTGCTGCTACTACCATACCATCTTCAGTCACTAGTCTAAAGCCAGGCATATTAGGAAGGAGCAGCGATAAATACATGAGATCATTACAGAACATTCCTCTTCGCATGGTCTGCCTCCTTATCAAGGGTTCGTGCCAAGGCATATGATAGCTCTCGGGAACGGAACATTCGAGGTGAAGGACCGAGCAAAAACTACCGTTAGAGAACCAATGTTGGACACCCTGTTGGAGTA